ACTGAAGTGAATTACTGACATCAAAACATCTCAATTGTAACATAAGTCAAAATTTTCAGATTTTTTCATTCCTCATTTGAGTGTTTAATTACTTACAGCAAGTTTATTTTAACAAGAAAGTCTTGGGAGTGACCAGAAGACAGCCCTGAATGAAGTATGAAATCCAGTGGAACGTAGTCGTTGAGGTCCTCCGGTTTCACCAACAGACACTCAGCAGGGTTTTTTTTCACAAGACGGTAACTCCGTAGATGCTCCACATAGTATGCTGTAAAAGGTTCTATAATGAAGCAAACATTCCTCTCCAACACAATGCATACTTCTAAAATTTGTCCAAAGTTGGGCAATCCACTTGTGCTCCCACTAGAGACAATCATTCCCTTTGAGTACTTGGTTCCATTCAGAAAGACGTGAGGGGTCAGTCCTACTCTGTCAACACTGCTGAACCTATTCAAGATGGCTTGTCTGATGGCAGCATCTAAAACTTCAAGACACATATCAGACACCTTTGCTGTCTCAGTCTCTGGCTTAAAAAGCCTTGGCATTGCAAAGTAATGTGCCAACATAAGTTGATGTCTTGTAGCAAGTGTAAGCAGAATGTTTTTAAAGTTGTTGGCATCTCGCACAGTCTTCTTAAAGAAAGAATGTTTTGCCTCAAACCTGATAGTCCAACACTCAGTTGGAGGTCCAAACTTTGAAATAAGATATGGATAATGTTCAATAAAGTGATGATTGGGACACAACTTTTTTTCTGGGAAAACTGTCTGCAGCAACTGTCTGTGATCGGATATTTTTGCCTGTAAATAACAAAGTGAGTCTGAAGTGAAATATGAGGTTGACAGTAGCTCCACCAAGTCTTTGAGCTCATGAATTAATTCCCATGTTTGATCACCTTCTGGAACAAGGTGACCAATGATGAGCGAAAGGAAGCGCACTAAACTCCAGTTTTCATGTCCATTACCACCTAGAGTACGATTCCGCTTAAAAGTTGATGGAACCTTCTGAGGCCGGTTTGTTTTGTCAGAGAACTTAAAAGGAAAGCCTTGTATTTTGTCATTGAGCTCATCCAATGTGAAATAGTTCTTCAAAATCAAATCTGCAAGGCACAGACTTAGCTCAATTGGTACAATGCCTTCCAGCACATCATGTCAAAAATCAGGTGGAAAACCTTGGCATGCATGAAAACCAGTCAATCTGTTAAGTGGACATTCCCATTTCACACCATCAACAGATGCAAGTTCACTCTGGTTCAATACATTTACAGCTTCATCATACAATTCTGATGTTCGTAAAACAAACTTTCCACTTCTGACATCACAAGTCTGTATTTCTTCACGATTACACAAACAAAACCTACAAAAATTGTCCACATTAAAAGACTATTGGAATCCTCCAAGAGAGTGTGCTGCCAAGTTGTCTGCAGAAACATACTAAATGGTCCCTTTCACATTACAATTAAGCTTTTCTACAAACACACCAACTGTTTCTAGACATTGAATATCTTTTATCAGTGGCTCTAAAACATTATTATATCCATAAGTCTTAATATGTTCAGTCTTGCACAATAAAGCTATGTAGATTGATGGCAGTGACGACTTATATCTTCTTGGCAATTTGGCAAGAATCCAATAAACACCACATACTTTGTGTTTTTTTATGGAGGTGCCAATGGGATTACAAACTTAAAAATCGTCAATGTACAAAGTTATGCACAAACTAACATGTTCATGTGAGAGAATTTGATTTGTTTTAAAGTAGTCACCATCCAGACATGACTTGTACGTCCCAGATTTTTCAGATGATCCGTTTAGCCTCAATTCATGCAGTACCTCATCTCGCTTTAGAATTGCAGAAAGTAATTTGAGAATGGGGATATAAACAACAGTAGGTGATTTTTTTTGTCTATTCAAAACATATTCAACAGGCTCAATGACAGTAAAGTTCTGTCTATAAAATGACTGTCTTTTAAATTCTGTGCCTAAAGGCCCCTCTCTAGAAAATAAAGTGAGTGGGTTTGCACTCTGTAATGCTTCAGTCAAAGATGCTGTTAATTCCTCTGATGAGCAATTATGCTCTTTCAAAATATTTTCAATTTTGTGCTGAGTTAATTGTACAACACATTGACCAACATCAAATAATTCATCAACAATTTCTTGAATTGCTGATTGTGACACATGAAGGACTGCTTGTAGACGAAGTAAAAGGGACGCTATCCGTCGCTGAATGAAATTTTGTTCAGGTTGAACTTCAGGCAACAATGAATCTGATGACTCTAAGTCATCAAAGTCTTCTTCATAATCATTTACAAAGGCTTCACTGTGACATTTTACAACAAGATCAGGTTTGAAATCAACCAATGTAGCAGCATAATGATATCGACTCTTATGGGCAGTGAAAGTTGAGTTTACCCTTGACTTAAAAGAACACCCCGCAAATGGACAACTGACAGTCTCTAGACTTGTCAAATGTCTCTTTAAATGAAGAAAATACTGTTTAATTTTGGTTGGTGCTGAAAAAGTACAGAGTTCACAGCGTAGTTTAGCAACTGGATATGATGTTTTATGTTCCTTGATATGTTTTGCAAAATCCACGTGGGATTTGAGAACAGCCAGACAGTTTGGGTAAATGCAGCTCAGTCCCTGTCTTCCACGTCCATGATTGTCTTTGTAATGACTCACTATTGTTCTTTCATTGTAGGTAACAAAATTGCAAAACTTACAGCTCCACTTCATCCACAGTTTTTGCCAAACTTTAAATAATGGACCACCTGCACAAAAAAACAACAACATACATTTCAGAATATGGTATTTTAAAAAAAAAAGTATTAATACATACGAATGCCAGTTTTGCCACTTAGTTAAAATAACTTGTCTAAATTGTTATCTTCTCCAGTTTCATTTTCCAAACTAGAGGTTCCAAAGTTTTCAGAATTTTACACGTCCATAACAGTAACATAGACTGTCCCCAATTTATTTTAAATGATAGACATTGATATTGGGTCAAATAAACAAGAACAGAATTAATTATGCTAGTTTAATTCATTTTAAGGTGACCTAAGCACACTATTTAGTAACAACTAAAGAAAATTAGTAGTCATCTTTAAAATGTAATTAAATTTAAAAAAGATTTTTCAGGACCTACAGTGGAGTCCTAACTATTTGGAAGCCACCGAAGCTCCCTGATATGTTATACTCTTGGGCACGTGCCCAGACTGAGCAAAGACAAACGCTTGATAAATAATTACTGTAAAACTCAAAATACAGTTTCATCTGCAATTGCTGCGGGAGGTAGTTTCCTCTCTTTAATAGTGAAATTGCATTTGTCACCGGCAACCAGAAACGGGACACAGGTGCCCACCAACACATTAAACAAAGGACACGGCTAATTACTGACAAGAAACACGACTAATTAGAGACGCACAGCCTTTCCCGAAGCCGCTAACTCACCTGCAGTCAGCACGTCAATGCAAAACTTTGACCAAGCGCCACATATGTGTTTCTGAGGAAGTGTACAATACCAAAATCGTGGTAGCTGCTTGCATTTTCTCTTAAGAAAAGTTCATAAGCGCAACCGAGTAGCATACTGCGTTTAGCTAGGCTCAACTGCATTAACTAACTCCTGCCCTCGACAATTAGCAAGCTGTTGTTTTATGTACTGTGTTTAAACATGTAACAGAGACACGAACGTTTAGCTCTTAACATATTTTAAAAATGGGTGGCATTATCAAAAAAAAAAAGACAAATTAATCTTACCTTATTTCTATGACTCCAGCTCGGTTCGTATTTAAAAAAAATGTCCCGCCGAATTTGAACGCCTTTGGGACTGAGGTCTTTGAAAAATGGTATTCATCCGCGACTTCGCTTTGGACGTCCTTAATGTGGTCAGGTGGTGTTCCTCTTCTTCATTTAATATGCAGTTCTAACTGGGATGGATAACTTTATAAAGTCTGACAAAATCTTACATCATATTTAGTCCCATATCAGATAAAGAGCGAATTTCCGGCATTATTTGGATCTCGCATTAATATTGCCAGCAGTGATCAGTTTTTATAAGATCCGGTTACCTTTTTCAAACTCAGATTGTCAAGTTATGTTC